ACAACGGACAGACCGCGAGTCGTTGTTTTCGAAAAAACTCCAAACTACACTACTACGCGCCCGAACCATCGCGGTGGATACAGGTTGGCACTGCTGTGAATAAAGAGTCAAATGCCACGGCTCGGTACAGAACGAATAATTACTCTGCGGCTATCCGTACTATTAATGAAGTTTATTTGTTTTTGATGTGCTAGCCTAGCTGATACTACGCGCAGGCAGCATACGAAAATGTAATAGCCCTACGTCATATCCGGGGTATCAACCGTCGTCTTCCGCGCGGGACAACACTGGAAGCGACGTGGCGACCGGAGTCCATAGAAAGTGAATGACTTTCAGCGACTTTCAGCTACTAAAGGCGACAGAATAACCGCTGGCGACGCGAAGTGTTGCTTCCACGCGAACGACTGAAAAAAACTACCAATGAAAGCATGTCGCTACCGCTGCTGACCCGGTAGTAAATACGGAAGATGGTTACCTAGGCAGCCTCTACCGTCCACAAGCAACAGATTCATAGCGATTCGCGACAATTACAAGTAGACGTATCTTAAATGTTTACTAAACCCGACTCAAAAATTAGTTTATTTTTTAATTTTATTTAATATATTTTCTTATTATCATTATGAGGATATCTAGGAGATGCAGTGGACTTTTAAAAATCTGATTATTTAATCCGGTCGTGGAGAATAAGAGAATGCTGAAAGAATGAAAATTAAATAACCGAGTTAATAAAAACAATCAAACAAACAAACACTGAAACTAATTATTAAAAACTAAACTGCGTAGACAATAAAACGTAATGGAATCTAAATTTTACTGATAACATAAAGTTCAAAGGAAATAATACTATAAATATAAACTAGCTATCATGATAACTCTATGATGTAGCTGTTTACACGTTCACCTAACAAATAAAAGATCCCCGGTTTGATCCTGGGGGCAGACACATATCCCTTTGGAGGGCATACAATGTAAAAATTAACAAAATCAAAGCATGTGGAACTGCCCTAATGTGGTGGCCCCTTGTGAGTAAGGAATTAGCTTTATATCTCTATGACTACACAATCGGTGTGCTCGAGTATACTTGTGAAAATGAGAGCTCTTTTTTTTTTTTTTTTTTTTTTGCCTGTCCCGTTTGGCTCTTTTGCCATCAGAATTGTTGTCTAAAGGCAAAGAAAGATGCCCAACGGATTTACTTTACCAAATTGACCATCCCAGCCTTGCCGTAATGGTCCATTTGATTCACCTTTTATTGTTTCTTTTATTTTCACTTACTGAATACGGGACAGACTTGACTGGGGGAAAGAAGGGGAGAAAGAAAGAGGGAAAGAGAAACAGCTGAGAAGAGGGACGGGGGAGAAGGGCAAAAGACAAAAACCAACAGAACGGGCAGAGAAGAAAAAAATGCATATATCAATCACCTGGATCACCTGCTGAGAAAGAAAAAAGAAAACAAGCAGAAGAGAACAAGAGCAACAGAACAAACAACACCACAATGATACATGGGAATACGACAGCAAATACCAAACACTAAACACCACTGTGCAGCACACAAGACCAACAGAACACAGTGTGCCCTGAGGTAGGAGCCAAAAAGGGTGCAGTTTGTGGGTGTGATCACCCGTGTGTACACCTGTGAGCATGGACGCGCTTGTTTTTTGTTTTTTAAAAGGTTCCTTCTTGTAATAATCTGCTAGAGGGTGTGGGGGGGCCACAGCCCCGTCCTCCAGGGCATGAAGCAGGTATGGAGGAGATCAAAACTCCAGACATCCAGAGGCCCCCAGAACACAAGAGACCAAGGAAGACCAACAGAGGGGCAGCCGCGCCACTGTCCCAGAAAGAGCTGAGGAGAGTCCCAGATGAGGGCTCACTCAGCAGCCGTGGAGCAGAAGCCAGGGGGAGTTGCAGTGACGTGCCCGTGAGCTCCGCCGGCAGCCAGCCGCGCCTGAGTGACCGAGCCCCAGGCCGAGAGGCCGGGGGCACCCCACCTCCGAAGTGGCCCGAGCGAGCCCCAGGCTCCAGGCCCCGATAAGCGGCCGCCAAGGAGTGAGCCGGTGTGTACCTGGACGCCCATCCCCGGACACAGAGAACCACCAACGCACCGATGTCTGAGGGGGTCCGCCACTGGCAGGGGAAGTGGTGGTAGGGGGAGATAGGCCTCCAAACCTTGGAGGGCCTGAGATGTCCCCAGAGAGGTGGCGCCTGACACCCAACCTGACATATAGACACAGACATACAGGCACACACAGATACAAACATCCATTCCCACCCTCATGCTCTCATATGCACTTACTCCACACTCAACCAACGTGGAGACAGACATAAAGAGACGCTGTACACACGATCACACTCCCCAAGCGTACTCTACAAACCGGGTCTAGGTGCCCCCGCCCCTGGAGGGGGAACTGCACCCAGACCCAGGTGGTGTTACCCTTTTCCCTGCGGTGGGGGGAGGCAGACCGCCCCGACTCCGCAGCAGCAGGAAGGCCCCACACTCCAGACCGCAGTCGGACGGCCAACTCCTCCTCCTAGCCCCCCCGCTCCAGCAGGTCGCAGAGAACGGGGGTGAGAGAAGACTCCAAACCTCCCTCCACCCGCTCATTGTAGTGTTGATGCATTTGTGTTCTAAGGTGCATTTAAAACCCAGGAGGGCATGGAGCTACCTGCCAGAGAGCAGCAGGTAAGCGCATGGTCCCTCCTGCTAGCCCTCAATGTCTACGTGTATTTAAAATTGAGAGGTGGGCAACGACGCCAGGGGTGGGGTGTACACCCTGATGGTACTTTGGATTCCGTGTATCGTGCCCACCCCCAAGATCCTATATGTATGTGTAATGAGAGTGTGAGTAATGTGAATGTCTAAGTTGTGGGATAAAATTGAGGCAGAGACAGCCAGAAGGGGACGGGGGGGGGGGGGGGTAGCCTCGTCTGCACCCTGGTGACATACCCCTACTCCAAGGTCCTGCATGTGTGGGTGGTTGTGGTGGAGCGGGAAGAGGGAGGCAGCTGGAGATGGGGAGGGAAGGAAGGGAGGGGCAAGTGACCCCTCCCTGGGGCCAGCTCCCCCGCTGACCCCAGTAGGCACCCCCATACTCCGCGACCCGCCAGGGAAAGGGGGCCCAGGCCCATCCAGACCGGGGCCCAGTGCAGCAGCGCCTCCCGGCCCCACAGAGCCCGGGACAGTCCACCCAACCCCACCACAGAGAAAACTGCACCCACCCCACCATCCACTCATCAAATGAGAGCTCTTTAAAGGTGTTTGACATTTGACTCGAGTTTTAAAGATGTAGCCATGGAACTCTTGTAATTTCATGAGTGAATAAAGTTGGGTAGAACACAGATTTGAGTAAAGTATGGCAAAAGACTCATGCCCTGCACTTGCTAGAATTAGTATAGATCAATGGAATGGTTTTCTCTTACTGCAACAGTTTGATAATAATAAAAGATAAACTGGCATCTCTTAAATTGATTGTCTTTGGCATATTCTCACACTCCACATGTTCTCAAACAAGCTGGAGTGGCTGATGCTGTGCCATCAGATTACAGCACAATAATTCTAATGTAACCCTCACTTTATATGTTTTAGAGGAGCATCGAGGTTGATGGAGGGTTTTTTTTCTTTTTCTATGCTTAGCTTGCCTTGCTTCTTCACAGTTAACACAATGAACAAACTCAGATTAGACAACAGGTGTTAAACAAAGGCAGCCGTTTTTATTAAAGGAAATATCCGTCAAGCAGATGAGCATTACAGTTTCCCTACTTTAAAGCAACACATTAGTGCTTTAAAAAAAAAAAAAAAAAAAAAACAGGTTTAAAAAGAAGTTCACAGGCTGAAAGCAAAAAATGGCAAACTTTCTCCACTTGAGCTTACAAATAAATACAAAAAGTGTTCTTCAGCGAGCTGGCTGGACACTACACGCATCACGCTGTTTATTAAATATGTGGCATCATGTTATTCTCAGTGCAAAAACAACAAAACAACTGTAGATAAGAAGATGATGATGAATGCTGGAATGTATTTTAGCAGTGTCAGATTATGGAACATCCTGCAGGCAAACGTGACATGCTTTGTGTTTTATAAAGACACTTAATGTAAACTCAACTTCCTGTTTTTGTAAAGCACTGTTGGGACACCATGAAGTAAGAGTGTAACGGGAATCTGTTTATATCTGCAGATCCTGCGTGGTGCTGAAGAAGGGGACAGACACGCCAGACCAAAGCAGTACACACCCCCTGTCACTTCCTGCCACACCAGCATTAGCAACAGTGAAGCCACGATTTGTTAGGATAGTCAGCAGAAGTAAGAAGCAGTGAGTGACTACAACACCTGTGAAGCTTGTCTGGCTCGGAGCACATTTACACTTTCACACAGATCAAATCCAGTGATTTCACTCAATAAAAACATCAGTACAGTTTCTGAACGACTGGTGACCCCACATGTGTTTGGAAAAAAAAAAAAAAAAAAATCTACAATTTACTTCAGTGCTTAACAAATGTAAACACACCTTAAACACAAACTTTAAAACCACTCAGGCTTTGAATCCAATACATCTCAGAGTTTACCACTAAACACTGAATGCTATGAAGAGCCGGCTGCTACTATAATTTTCTGCTTTGCAGCCTGAAGGCTAGTAGAAGCTCTCTGGTTAAATGGATTATGATCAGTGTGAAGTGGAAATCAGGTGCCAAGAACATCTCCAAAACACTCCCTGAGACACAATCCAAATAATCAACTGACGTTTGATCTCAGCAGTCATTGTTTGCCCAAAACATCACAGAAGAAAACCGAAACGAACAAACAGAGCATGTGAGAATGACTCCCCCTAAGCATCCTAGCTTTTATTTTCAATGTTGTTGTCATCTTATAATCTATTTAATAAATCCATGGACAGTATAAAAGATGGACATAGCTACTGTGATGCTCATAACAGCTTGCCAATCACAAGCTGCTAGCTAACCAGCATACCCTCAAAAATCTTTTTATCGGACACAAAGAATGACCAAAATTTAGAAAACAGACGTAATCATTTATTTAGTGTGACCCAAAATGAGTGACTCAACAGGAGAGTGTTTACACAGGTCAAATTCAATGGTCATTCCCCCCACAGTATTGCAGGTTTTGCCTTTAAAAATAATTCCGTTTATGGCACTTCTAGGCTGGCTTCAATTTTTAGACTTGAAAGCTTCGTTCATCTGTTATACTGTCTATGAAAATACACATCAAAATAAACTGGAAATACCAATTTAACATGGTGATAGTATTCCATAAGGTCTACATCCTTATGGAATACTATCAGTCCAAAATGGAAAAACAGGTGCTAAGCGTATGCACTAAAAACTCCCTGAGGCATAATTCAGTTATGTAACAGGACATGGCTGAGTCATCCATCCTAGAGTAGAGCTTTTATTTTGAATTTTTATAATGTACTTTGGTAAAACTGTGACTGCTGCTCTGTCTGTGCAGCAGGCAACCGTACACTTTCTACATCCTCTTTTCCAGCTTACAGGAGTAATAGTTCAGTATACATTTACAGTGGGGAATTCAGGGGCATTGCTACAGACTGTTACTTTATTCTCTACATAGCTTATTTTACTCAATCCCTGGTATCATGTAAGTCATGGCCATTTTGTAACAAACACATTATTAAACCTCTTTTTTTTCAAATGTCTAAAATATACTTATTACATGGTGAAAAATAAAATAGAAAGTAAACTGAACACAGCTCCATTATACTTACTCTAATTTGAGTTCTATCAGAATCACAACGGGTCATTTGTTAGTCAAATCACGCGGCTGCTGTGACGGTCACAGTCATGGCTGAGGTAAACACTCCCTCTTTTACAGAAAGGTGCTGTTAGTGTACATTAACACCAATATATTTCCATTCAAACATATTAAAGTCTAAATTTTATCTACAGTAGAGAATCACATGGTGTTCCAGTTTCCCTATAGTAATACACAGCATCATTAATCACCTGAAAAATGGTGCTTGAACAAATCTTTCTGTAGCTACAGGCGTCAGCTGGTGAACTGCAACCAATAATCTGAAACTTACAGACCTGGATTTGCAAAGTGGGGGAAAGGATCCTTGACCCAGAGCTGAAGGCTCAACAAAATAACTATCCTAAAACTCTGCTGTACCATCAAAAAAGGGTGGATATACAAGCTGAGACTATTAATTCAGATAAAATAGGCATACTGTACCCATTAACCCCTCTCACGTTATCAGCAGGCCAAAACAATCTCAGATATGACTGAGACACTCTTTTCAATCTGCCCTGAAACCACTGACTTCTTGCAGGGTTCAATGAACTGTTCCTGCTGGTGCATGGTTTATTAGCCAGCGAGCCAGCCGGTGGTCATGGAAATATTAGACTGAGCTCAAACTCTCTGGTGATACCCAAACTTTAAAAGAAAAAACAACAACAACAAAAAATTAAAAACAATAACCAGAAAAAAAAGGGATGTTCTGGGGTAATGCACTTATTCAGACTTCATAATTGTTTTCTTTCTATATTAATAAATCTAAAGAAACTGCTCATAAGTTGAAAACAAAAAAAAACCACCCAACAACCTAAAACCATTTTTTAAAATTAAAATCTACTATTGGCTAACAACTAATATAGGTCTAGATCCTTTTTTAGCCGAAAATCTGAAATCATGACTCCACAACTTCAAGCTAAGAATGATAATCAAGGCAGCGTAAGGTGACTGTCGGTGGGACACAGGGAGCTTTTAACACGTTTAAATGAGCTTTACAGCTATGATAATGTTTTCTGTTGAGAATCAGAATAATAGAGCTGTGGTTTACAAATTTAGTGTACAAACAAATCACATCTGTGAGGGTTCAAGCATTCACAACACAGTCAAATAAAAAAAAAAAAAAAAGAAGTTCAAATTGTGACAAGTGTGTTAAAAAAAAACAAGCCAAGTAGTCATGTGTCACATAAAAGGTCGAAGCAGCGGACTTGAAACATTCAGAGCTCCGTTTTGTCAGACATGCAGTAGTCGCACTGGGTGAATTAACAGATCTAGTTTTTGTTTCTCTTGAGAGCCTCACACAGGTTCTGGTTTGGATCAGGTTCATGACTCATGATCTCAACACACTCCCATTCTCCGCTGCTGCTGGACCGCTTCACCGCCTCCACCACCGTCTGCACGTACAGACCGTCCTCAAACGTTGGTGCAGTGGCAACTGGTCCCCGTGCCCAACACCGGCGCTCCTCCTTAGCCTGAAAAGACTGCCTCAGCGCCTTCACCATGGAGCTCAGGCCCTGCAGGAGAGGCAGGGGCATTTCTTTTACCTCTGGTCCCACCCAGCCGTTGTCGCCTACCAACAGCTCCTCGCTTTTACTCCCGTTGCGTTGCCCATACAGTTCTGTCCCTCTGGCAATTAATCTCCCAGTGGATCCAACTACCATAACCTCATGTACAAACGACCCCGGCATATTGAAGTTTAGGGTCACAGTGCAGCACACGCTACTGGACCCTGTCCCACCCATCAACATTTGGAAGAAACAGAAATCGTCGCTGGTGACGCGGCGTATCCCTCGGATCAAACCGTTTTGCTGCACGAAGGTCCGCAGTAAACCATGCACGCGGTGTGCTCGTGTGCCAGACAGGTAACTCAAAAGGTCGATGATGGCGGAGCCAACAGTGTGAAGACCGCCTCCTCCCATCAGCTCCTCGCAGGTCCAGCCGTACGACTGGTCCAGCAGGCTCGGACCATAGACTCGGACATCACACACCTGCAGTTCGCCCACATATCCCTCCACCAGCAGTTGTCGCATTGCAACAAAAGCTGGCAGGAAGCGCAGGGTGTTACCCATAATGCTGAGCAGCTGTGGGTAGTATCTGGCTGCAGTGACCATCTTGAATGAATCCACAGCAGTTGCAGCTTTCTCACACACGACATTCTTACCGATACCTGAAGACAGACGGAGATTGAGCAGTTATTAACTTACTGCACTGATCTTTGGCGTAGAGCCAATGAGAACAGATTTCACACAATTTATTATTATTATTTTTTTTACATAAGCTCAGATCTGCAGCAGTTTCAGTTCGGTGCATCTATCAGAGTGTGCATTTGATTGCTTTACTGTTCATTTACTCATTAGGTATGAATAAACCAAAATAATGTGATGGCATCTAGTGAGTGCAGCGTTTGTTATACATTTTAAATCAGACCTCACTAGCCGTTGGAATTGGTCCCATGGATTAGTCCCTCAGCAGGGAAACACTCAGGAAGTTGCAACTAAAACAGGAAACTGTGGTCAACGCTTAGGAATTCCATCAGATACAGAAAGCCCTGTATCAAGTCCCCTTTGATTGGGAAACCTTGTTGATTATATTTGCTTCAGTCTACTGCTGACAGAATTTTTCTTTCTTTTTTTTTTTTTTTTTTTTAATTTGTAGCTACAATTGCTGTTGATCAAGGCTTTGATCACCATTAATCACACGTCAATAACAAACCCTGAAGAATACGTTACAGAGGAAATGCGTTTGAGATCTGACCTGCCACACCCAGCTGCTTCAGGGCACGAGCTGTTTGCATACACAGCTCTGAACTTTTCCACACCTCACCTGATGAAGCTGTATGTGACACAGCAAATGTTTAACATACAGGGAGTGCAGAATTATTAGGAAAGTTGTATTTTTGAGGAATAATTTTATTATTGAACAACAACCATGTTCTCAATGAACCCAAAAAACTCATTAATATCAAAGCTGAATGTTTTTGGAAGTAGTTTTTAGTTTGTTTTTAGTTTTAGCTATTTTAGGGGGATATCTGTGTGTGCAGGTGACTATTACTGTGCATAATTATTAGGCAACTTAACAAAAAACAAATATATACCCATTTCAATCATTTATTTTTACCAGTGAAACCAATATAACATCTCCACATTCACAAATATACATTTCTGACATTCAAAAACAAAACAAAAACAAATCAGCGACCAATATAGCCACCTTTCTTTGCAAGGACACTCAAAAGCCTGCCATCCATGGATTCTGTCAGTGTTTTGATCTGTTCACCATCAACATTGCGTGCAGCAGCAACCACAGCCTCCCAGACACTGTTCAGAGAGGTGTACTGTTTTCCCTCCTTGTAAATCTCACATTTGATGATGGACCACAGGTTCTCAATGGGGTTCAGATCAGGTGAACAAGGTGGCCATGTCATTAGTTTTTCTTCATTTATACCCTTTCTTGCCAGCCACGCTGTGGAGTACTTGGACGCGTGTGATGGAGCATTGTCCTGCATGAAAATCATGTTTTTCTTGAAGGATGCAGACTTCTTCCTGTACCACTGCTTGAAGAAGGTGTCTTCCAGGAACTGGCAGTAGGACTGGGAGTTGAGCTTGACTCCATCCTCAACCCGAAAAGGCCCCACAAGCTCATCTTTGATGATACCAGCCCAAACCAGTACTCCACCTCCACCTTGCTGGCGTCTGAGTCGGACTGGAGCTCTCTGCCCTTTTACCAATCCAGCCACGGGCCCATCCATCTGGCCCATCAAGACTCACTCTCATTTCATCAGTCCATAAAACCTTAGAAAAACCAGTCTTGAGATATTTCTTGGCCCAGTCTTGACGTTTCAGCTTGTGTGTCTTGTTCAGTGGTGGTCGTCTTTCAGCCTTTCTTACCTTGGCCATGTCTCTGAGTATTGCACACCTTGTGCTTTTGGGCACTCCAGTGATGTTGCAGCTCTGAAATATGGCCAAACTGGTGGCAAGTGGCATCTTGGCAGCTGCACGCTTGACTTTTCTCAGTTCATGAGCAGTTATTTTGCACCTTGGTTTTTCCACACGCTTCTTGCGACCCTGTTGACTATTTTGAATGAAACGCTTGATTGTTCGATGATCACGCTTCAGAAGCTTTGCAATTTTGAGACTGCTGCATCCCTCTGCAAGATATCTCACCATTTTTGACTTTTCTGAGCCTGTCAAGTCCTTCTTTTGACCCATTTTGCCAAAGGAAAGGACGTTGCCTAATAATTATGCACACCTGATATAGGGTGTTGATGTCATTAGACCACACCCCTTCTCATTACAGAGATGCACATCACCTAATATGCTTAATTGGTACACAGCAAAATCTCCAGTGTTAAATTAACACTGGAGAGTGTCTATATGGGTCCACACCTCTGAGTGTTAAATACAACACTGTTGAGTGTTAAATTAACACTTTTGACAGTGTTATATGTTTAAAAGTAACCTAGTCAGTTTTGATAAGATAAGATAGAACTTTATTAATCCCTCGGGTGGGTTCCTCTGGGAAATTCAACTTCCAAAAAAAAGCACAGCAACGACCGAAGTTACAGTTACAGAATTGTTTTATTTATTTTTATATATATATATATATATATATATATATATATATATATATATATATATATATATATATACACACAGAGACAAATATAAATAAAATATACAAAGGGGATAAATAGAATAAATAGGAATAAAAATAAAAATACAAGTGAATTGCACATTTCAAGTATTGAGTCTATTGCACTGTTGACTATTTACAAAAAGTATTGCACAAGGTATTGAACAGTGAGGTGAAGAGGCACTACAGCTTAGTTGTTCCCCCCTCCTTTGTCCTCCTGTTTCCTGTTTCCCCTCCCTCTCCCCTCCAGAGAGGAGTTAAACAGTCTGATGGCGTGTGGGACAAAGGAGTTTTTAAGTCTGTTAGTTCTTGTCTTGGGGAGAAGCAACCTGTCACTGAACAGACTCTTCTGATTGTTTATGGCCGTGTGCAGAGGATGCCCAGCATTGTTCATAATGTCCAGCAGTTTTGAAGATTAACAAAGACTAACACTGACCAGTGCTAATTTTCTAACACTGGAAAATAACTCAAAATGTTAGAAATATTCCAGTGTTAGAAAACCAGCACTGCTCAGTGTTAGTCTTTGTTAATCTTCAAAACTGACTAGGTTACTTTTAAACATATAACACTGTCAAAAGTGTTAATTTAACACTCAACAGTGTTGTATTTAACACTCAGAGGTGTGGACCCATATAGACACTCTCCAGTGTTAATTTAACACTGGAGATTTTGCTGTGTAGTAGGCTTTTGCGCCTATACAGCTTGGAGTAAGACAACATGCATGAAGAGGATGATGTGGACAAAATACTTATTTGCCTAATAATTCTGCACTCCCTGTAGTCAGAATGGACACTGAACGATCTCCAGCCTACTGGGACAAACGGTGCGTGATGGTTGACTGTTCTCGTGTGGGAACAGCACACATAATTGTTTGGTGAAGTTCCAGCAAATGAGTGGGCACTCATGTATGCTGCTTCTTGCATGCTCTACCCAGGCAGTTCCCTTGCTTTAAACAAATGCAATATTTCCAGCAGTGAGAACGCATCTAAAGTAGACTATCACCTGGTGTGTGCTACATATGAGGTAGGGCAATTACCACACTGACAATCCATGGAGGTCATGTGTGAAAACAGCTACGGGTGCTAAATCGAAACCAGACCCAGAACTGAAACTTGAAGGGTTTCTATCTGACACATTTGGCTTGTGATGAAGCACAAAGATAAGTGGAGATACCCCCAGAGGAGCTGCATTAGGATTATAGTCATTACAGGTGGAAGCAACTAATAATACATTCCCCAAAATAACAGCAATATCATGATACTGAGTCCTACAGTTCTGGACACACTGTAAAACAAACATAGAAGATACATCAAATATCTGTATAACTAATAAAAAAAAATGTCCCTAATGAGGCTATCAGCAGTAATTATATATTTATTCGCCACACTGTGTGTGTAATCAATATTTTTCAGTTTAATTAGTGTGATTAATAATGCCACCGATGTGCTTTTCCCTGCTATCTGTGCTGTCTGCCATTTTCACAGTGTGAGTTTCTTCTTCACTGTAGCTTTGACTTTACCCTCAGTTGATTAATAAGTATCACCACAAGCAGGCATGAGGCACTGGTCAGTGTTTCAGAGCACTGCATGCTTTCATTAAAATTTTGTAATTTGGTACCAGAACACTGATAACATGAAAGCATTATTGCAAGAGGAAGAAATGTGCAATACTAACATGTGAATCTTAATATTTCAACCTTCATTTAGGGTGTTAACTCTTGAGATGATTTCTTTCATGACATACTAAATAGGGTTAGTGGTAGGAGAAACTGGAGGTCCTGTAGAAAGCCTGCACAAGAACAGGGAGATGATACAAACACTGTATGAAAGAGTGTTGCCTGGATTTGAACCCCTCATGCTGTGACAGTGCTAATAGCTCAGTCACTATGCTGCCAAACACACTGTGTTATATTATGTTATATTTGTGTTTATGGAGTCTTACCCAGTGCCTTGACTGCTATCTGCCTTGTCATGGATGGTGGAATATAGATGCAGACAAGGTCAACATCTTGATGCAGCAGGACGTCGTCAGATCGGCTGGTGTGAAATGGGATGCCGAGCTCCTTTGCCAAGCAGCATGCTTCCTCTTCGCTTCGCCCCCAGAGTGCATGAACCTCAAAGCCTTCAGCTTTTAGCAGTGGGACCAGCACTCGGGCCGTACTCCCCGTGCCAAACACACCGACTCCCGGCAGCATGGTAGAGCTGCTCAGTGGGACCCTATGTGTGAACCATCGCCAGTCACTCCAGCATCTCAACAGCAAATCATCCACTAGCTTTTCAAGGCCTGTGCTGTTGATTTTAGCCTATAAAACAATTAACAATTGAACAGTTAAAGAGCGATCAACCTTTATCCAATAACATAACAAAATCCTGGGAAATAAAAAAGCTCTTTGTGAATGCAGCACTAAGAAATGAGAAGGAGTAGTGAATAAGTGCTTTACCCATTTATCCCAGCTTTGAGTGTATCTGCAGGTCTCATGAAAGTTCAGCCCAGTTTTTCTTATCAGACCTCTGTGACAGGCTCTCATGCCGTGTCCTGCCACATACTTAACATGCCTTTCCTTGTTCACACCCACTGAATGTCAATGTCATCTTTTGTCTTTCAACCAGGCTAAACATAAAAACCAGCAGCCAGAACAATCTAATTATTTATCGCTCACTTAATGTTGTTCTGAAAGTTATAAATCACCTGAACCAGTATGAGTTTACTCCCTTGTTTTCCTGATCTGGAATGATAATAGACTGGTGACTGATTTAAATAGCAGGCCATATCTACATTAAATACATATGCATAAAAATCAACTAAGCTGAAAAACATACACAAAAACACAAAAAACATATCCTTTTAATTCAGAGGTTTTCCAAAAACTTTATAATTCAAAGTAAAAAGTGAAATTGATTTATAAATATTAAATGAACTAAATGTACCACTACAAAGACTACAGTCTTTGGGGACTGAATGTGGACTCTTAGGGAGAAGTAAGGGGGGAAAAGGAAAGGAATATGCTGAGAGGAGAAACAGGAGAACAGCAGCTTTGGCTCAGGTATGAACTTCTCTCAAGCCATAAATTGCTGTACCTATTTTCCGTTTTCCTAGCAAAATATAAAGAAATGCGGGGTGTGTCCATATTTAGCACAGTGCTATATAGGTGAACAATGAGCAGGTCTATCTTGCTGACTCTCCCTGTGGCCATGATGACTGTACAACAGAAGGGTGACGGAGGAAAGTCTGCGTGCCCCTGCACCTGCATTACCCGTGCCACCTTTGGGAACCTTCTCTCGTTTAAACCGCATCCGCGCCAGGCTAAAGCAGCCGAATGCAGCTGAAGTCTCTCACACACCGACAACACTGGCAACTGAGCCGTGCCGAGTCAGCTAGACAGATGAGATATCAAAGGCATGACACACGGACTCGTCGCTTTCTGAATCAGAAGTAGTAGCTCGGGATCAGACATATGTCATAAAACACTGCAAACTTCCTCAAAGTGACCACGTCTTCGTTTCAAACACGCGTACTGCTACAAGTGCACACACACCTACACACACAGTGAGCTAGCTAAACAGTCAGGTTATTGATAACGTTAGCTAGCACGTTCAGCTAGCTGGCCAGACAACCGCAGAGCGTGCACAAAAAACTCCCAGTAAACGCAGATACTTCTCGGGCTCACTGTTTAGCGTTAAAGTATCTACAAACGGGTATTATTTAAAACAAATCCCAAGTGAAAAGCAAGGAAACGTTAACTACCTACTGTATTTGGCAGCACAACATCAGCGACGTCGGAAGGTGTCGAGCCGGGCGCTGCCCAGTTGCTAATGGTAACTTCAGCAGCAACAGCAATACTGTGACGGGAACCGGACATACTAAAGCTGTGAAGATAGGTCACCGGCGGAAAATCAACACGGGGGACTCATAGGAAACACGTTATGTTTAAACACAAAGATACTAAAAGTTTCACAAAACCTTGCTTTTAAAGATATTTTTTATTAATGTAGAAATACGTCTTACGAATAAAATATGTGCCCTTGCTGTTAAGGCATTACTTTAACTTTCAATAGTTTTCCCATGATTCAGTGCGCTACCTGTACAAATCCCTCAGTACGTCGACTAGTTTCACTCGTTTAATCTAAAAATTTTCAATTCAGTTTTATGTAAATCGCAACAACAGTTGCCTCAAAGCTTCTTCCAAGTGGGCAGTCGTCTACCCCAAAGCAGTTATCTCACTTGTTATTTTTAACCATTACCAAAACTCAAGGCGTAGCTACCACTCCAATCTAAATATATCGACAAAATAATTTGCTTGCTTTGAGACGAAATTAAGGTTTAAAACGGTTAAAAACTCTCTTAAAACTCTCTGAAAGTTATAGCCTAATTCTACCACGTTTGCTATTGCAGTGTTTTCCCTTGTATTTCAGTTACTTTAGTGACATCCCTCTCATATAATGTCTCCGGTTAAATGTATTTTGATAATTTATTCTGTTTAATTTTATTTGACAGTATTAGTTACAATTGCACAGATTTCACAGAAACAAACTCAAATATATATTCAATATTTGTTTGTGGAGAATCAATAGTGATTTTTGTTTGTTTTTGAATGGAGGGCCAGTAACATATGTTTCAAATAACCAGATAAGTGCCCTGATGCAAGTATAATAGCAGGACCTTACTTACTGCAACACAGATACCATTTTAAATGTATCTTTTTTCCCTGATAAGAACCCATTGTTAACTCTTAGTTCATCTGTTGGCACCATGAGCAACACACTAGACTTTAAACTTGTAGAGGTGTGTGTGAGCGCTCATGTTTAATGCTGCTGTTGGCAGGGGTGACTTTGGTTTACATTCTTTTGCCTCAGCCTTTTCAAATACAATTTATTTTTAAAAATGCTTTTAAACTTTGGTGTTTACTTTGTGAAATGATGTTAGATGAATACGGTATGAGGTTTATTTGGCTACTACAGATTTACAGTGTGTAAATAATAAACTAAATCTGCAGAAATAGCTGTGTGATGATGATCAGAAAAGTGACACCTGCAGCGTCCAAATCCACAACCATCCAGCCAACCACTAAACCAGCCAAACACTAAACCAGCACAGGAGTGCAGGAAGAGTGATCTACAAGGCCATCAGGTGGATGATAATGGTTACTACCACCTGGACAGTGTGGCAGCTGACATGGAAAGATGAACAAACAATCCAAGGAAACAGACTGAAAATCAGTCTAACTTTAAATTAGTGAAAAATACCTGTTGATACCTTTTTTGAAATTCTCATAAAATACACACATGATATATCACCATGAGTAAAGTAAAGTAAAACACATCTGGATCACAAATCATCCAACATTCAATATTGTTCACTGATTTCACCATATTTGCATTACAGTGCAGAGGTTTGGGGCAATACTCATAAATGTTTGCTATCATCAATCTAGGTCCATAAGGATAATCCATAAAACTGGCTACAGAGATCATACAAATCCGCTATTCTTAAAATCAAAAATACCAAAATTCACAGACCTGGTTCATTTTCTCACAGTACAAATTATGTATAAAGTAATAAACGACCTACTTCCTGACAGTATTCTCAAATTGTTTTCTAAAAGGAAACAGGGATACAATTTGAAGGGGGAATTAAATTTAAAACATCCTTGTATCCGTATAACATGACAACGTTTTTGCATCTCTGTGTGTGGAGGGAGGCTGTGGAATAGAGTGAAGAACTGAAGCAATGTCCCAGCATGACTCAGTTCAAAATTGTGGTTTTTGCAAAGTAAAGGAAGGAGGTAGGGCTCTGATCGGGTGTTCTCACCCACTATTTTCACAACAGTGATGTGTATATATGTGTAGGTGCACAAGTATGTTTATATAAGTATATATTTAAAGTATAAATGTAAAAATATAAAAATAGATAAATAAATAAAAAACACATGTAACATGTAATGTAATTGTAATGAAGAATTTCTGATGGACAGGGAAACAGGAAGAAAAAGTGTAGACTATTAATTACTAAATAGTGAAAGGGGGTGGGATTAAATAAGATTATGCTTCTTCCTTTTTGAACATGTTATGAGTTATTTATAATTATTGTTTTTTGTTTTCCTTTTGTTTTGCTGTGTTTGTTTGTTTGTCTCTTTTTTCTGTTGTTGTACTAATTTAACATGTTCAAAATAAAGATACAATACAATACAATACACCTTCTGTGGATGCTTATTAGATGTAAGTTGATTAGATATTTATACTGGTGGGGATGCACTGTTGCTATTATTAACGGTGATTTCACCCCAAAATATGACATTTACTGATGACAATGGCTGATTGTGTGATTAAGGGGGATAAAAGTTATAGGGTGAGACAGAGGCCTATGATCTGCTATAGCAACACCTAAAAGGGCAAGCCAAAAGAAAAAGCAGGACATTAAATTATTAGACTTGAATTTCATAAAATTGCTCCATCTAAAAAGTTTTTTATTCTCCATGGTTATTTCTGATTGCACATATGTATTAATCAAATTTTACACTATTGTTATTCTGTATTTGAAGTTTTCCCCCAATTAGACTTAGGTTGCTTTAATCAGTTAATCATCAGCTGTAACTGAAAACACCTTAGTTTGTGATTCTAAAAATTATTTTCCTTTGAGAAGAAAATAGAAGTCTGTCTGCATCTATATAAAAATATAATTGTTTTACATTAAAATACAGCGTTTGTTTTAAAAAGATCAATAATTAATTAAGTTCTTTTGTTGTTTTTTAACACGTTGATAGTATTTTCTTTACACACACGCCTACTTGAACGGTGTCATTACACACACTGACCAGCAGAGGCGTTATATCACTAACGGTTATGGACAGGAAGCGCAAGGAATTGTGGGACTTTTAGTTCTCAGTGGTGGACGATTACCCTGATAACAGAGCTAAGAACAAGAAAAAACATTTACCGTTGAAAATAAAACAGCATCCGTGAATTCATCATATGCAAGAGCTTCGTGTGCTCCGCGGCCGGCTAATCTCGGATGGATTTAGTCGTCGTACGAAGGAGAGCGCCTCACTTTTGCTAAAAAATAAACAGGAAGTTGTTAGCGTTGTGGGACGTGTAGTTCCGCTTGCAGGCCGCCGATCTTGATAACATAGCATAGAATAAAGAAACAAAAATAAAATAATCTTAAGTTCACCCGAAGGCCGCAGATTTAGCCTCGGCGCTGAAGTAAATATGCCTGGGTTCACCTGCTGTGTCCCCGGCTGCTACAACAACTCGCACCGGGACCGGGAACTGCGCTTCTACACGTTTCCTAAGGACACCGCTCTCAGAGAGCAGTGGCTGAGGAACATCTCCCGGGCCGGGGTCAGCGGCTGCTTCAGCACCTTCCAGCCAACTACGGGGCATCGAGTCTGCAGCGTGCATTTCGCCGGCGGGAGGAAAACCTACAGCATCCGGGTGCCGTCCCTCTTCCCTCTGCGAGGGGTGAATGAGCGCAGGAGTCGGCGGGGCAGAGGCAGGAAAGTATCCGCGGCGGTTCCCGCGCCCGCCGCAGCTGCGACCTCCGGAATTGTTGTCACCAGCTCCGTGCTGGGCAGCACCGCAGAAGGAGCCGAGGCCAACGCAGGCGGGGAAGCGAGCGACGACAGCATCACCGTGGTGCAGATTGGCCAAAACGGGGAGTACTTGGGCACCGCGCGACTGCCCGTCCAAACGGAGGGGACATCTTACACGGGGCAGGTCGGCGGTACAGCCGAGGTAACGGCTGGCGACTCACAGGTGGACACCTCATCCGCGGCGGCACCGGTGCAGTATGTCAGCGTGACCAGCAGCCCGCTGGACCACTCGTACTCTCTGACCACTGGCACCACGTCGGCCGAGCTACTGAGGAAGCTGAACGAGCAGCGGGACATCATCGCGCTCATGGAGGTAAAGATGAAGGAGATGAAGGCGACCATCCGCCAGCTCCGGGTGGCGGAGGCCAAGCTGCAAGAGGAAGTGCGGGAACGGGACCGGTTGCTGTACGGCCACACGGTGGCTGCTAACGTTCGGAAGAAAATCTGATGGGATGGGTGAACATCCCCGGAGACGAGCCGATATACAGACTCAGACTGACGGAGAGCAGATGGACAGCAGATCCAGCCCCGATTTCTACGAAACTGAGAGCGATGACAATTTATTTTCAAGTAGAGCTTATTTTTATTTTTATTTGCGTTTAAATTTTTTTGTAGGCTGGCTAGTTGATGTAGCTGATAGTAATAAACTTAATGCTAATCTAATTGAAACATGCACAGTCTGCCTCTGGTCTGCAGCCAAACCAAGATCACATGAATCCATTCAGACAAGACTCGTAGTTTGCACAGACTCACATTTCAGACTTATTTATGACGGGACAGACTGAGGGGACACCGGCGAAGGACATGCTCAAAACTGCCTAGCTGCATAAAATGTTTTTTGTCCTTAGGCTGTTTTTGTTTTTCCAACAGAGTTTAGGAGCTCTTGTTGCAAAAAAAAAAGGATAACACCCCACAATAACATGCAAAAATGCGCCAAGATGAAGTATTTATAGGATTTTTTTTTTTTTTACCAAAACACTAATCTTGGCCTGCTTAGGGTTGTAGTGAACTAAATAAAACTCTACCGCGACTGTTTCAGAGTTGCCTTTAAAGGTACCTTAAGATTATTTCCATTATTTTTGTTGCTAGAGGTATTTTTGCAACTGAGAAGAAGAAAAAAAGACTTGAAGAAATTCCTCAAAGCTTTAAAGGGCACTTAAAATTAATTCTTATTAAAGGATGCTTCTTGGGGACGTTTTTTCCCTAGTTTTGGGGGAAGCAGCACCTACTTCTTTTTCATTTTTTGGGTGTGATTTAAACATTTTACGTGCCTCTTCCCTATTCTTCACACAGATGTTTAGTTCCCACATATTTGTCCTGTTCATCAGTGTTTTAAGCACAGGCTATTACAAACATTTCATATTTTTGAAGCTGATCTGGCAGCTCATTGTTTAAGACTGGCAAGTTATTTCTCAAGCCAACAAGCATTTTGTCTCATAGCAGCATTTTAGAGACTTCTGGTGGGGGAGAAAGGATCTGACAGTGTTTCTGTTGTTTTCTTTTTAAACCTTCATTGATATTGGGGGGGTGGAGGGGTTTGGCTCATGTGATCTCATCCCCGGACTGCGGTGAGGGGTTTATTTTAAAATGACATGAAGATTTGCAGTGGCTCTTGTAAGTAATATTACAAATTTTTTCAGCTGTGTTGAGTTGTGGACAAAATAATACAATTTGTATGAAATAAACTTATAAAAGACTCGTGTTGGAAACCTTACAGTTTACGATCGTCGCGTAAAGTGCAGTGATCTTAAAATTATTCACACCCAAAATTTAATTGGATTTGAATTTTCCCCCGAGTGGGTGACAGGTCTGGTCTGCCAGTTTACATCATCATCATCATTGTTTAGCACTAGTGGTGCCTTCACAGATGCACAGGATAGATAATCTGTGCAGATTAATAGCTCTGCATCATAGAGATGCTGACTTTGGGTCTACAAATCTCTCTTTAACTCACAGGATGCATAGTATTACTTCTATCAGGAAGTTAAAATTTTGAGGGGTCAGAAAACAGCTTTATATTTTACGTCATTGTCCAGGCTGGATCTCAAGAACATATTAGAGTTTTTGGATCTTCTTTGTGTGTTTTCCTTTCTTTTCATGTCAGAGTTTTAACTTGCTTTTGTGGCTCTGTTTATAAACCCGTGCTCTGACTGTTGTTTGAATCCAGCACCACCTGAAAACCTGAATGTGATGGCCATCTTTGGCCTGGTGAAATCATCTTTCTAATTACACTGTATGTTAAATTCTATTTCTAAATGTCTGAGAAGCTGTTTTTACCAACTTAGCTAAAGTGAGTGAGAAGTGTTTTTGGCCCCACAGTATTTTGTTGCTCTTCCCCAAAGTTTTACACAGTTTTTTGCTGGCATTACATTCAAAATAACAGAGATAGGACTTTATTTAAAAAAGAAATCACGAAGCTGAAATGCACGAAACTGAAATTTCTAATATAATATTGCACAAAGAAAACAAATGAAATGTTTTCTCGCTTAAATGTAATGAGTGCCTTCTGTTTACGGCTTACACTGAAACTGGGTTGTATAATGTCAGAACAAAAGATGAATTTTTTATATCTCTCTCTCTTTGCTAGTGTAAATAACAAGCCTAAACGGATTAAAGAACCAACTCACCAAAGAGAAATCACTCCTCAAAAAATGATCTCTAGTCGTATTTTGCTTCAGATTTACTAAATTGTTCAATTAAGACCCAATTTGTCAATAAATGAGGATAATTACTAGAAAATAGTGGATTCAATTACACGTTCTGACTTCTTGCTTTAATGCAAATGTGATTTCATTTTTAAAACAGCAAAGTGTCATATTTTAGGTGACTGGAGGTCAAAGAAACTGATTCGTCATCTTGTCCAGTCCAGAGTTTCAGGACAGGAATAATCATCCTTACAGTCGGAGTCTGAAGCATGATTTTTACCCTCTAGATGGCGCTAGGATAAAAGCTTGAAGAAGAGAAGCTTCAGCTCCTCTCTTTATGACCTAATTTGCTTGATCTATCTATGTGTGTCTGCTGGCCAATCTGATGCTCATTTGCTTAATTGTTACAGATTTTAAGGAAGTGAAATGCTAATTATCTTAACACGAACATAGGCATGTAATGCAGTTCCACCGCTCACACTGGAATGGGTAATTTTTGAACACCTAATGTATTAATGTGAAACAGAGAAAGGGGGAGCGATGGATGAATGGATGGAGAGAGAGCATTGGAAAGAGCGAGGATCCAGATCCTAATCTCATCTGGATTTATCTTTTCTACTCCCTACAGTGTTGCGTAAGGCCTTAATCCAATGCTGTCAATCAAACTTACACAACTCTATCTTCCTTCTTGATGGCTGTTGCCGTTTACCACTGCAATCAGGCCAAATGACATCTTTTCAAGGCAGGTTTCATTGTTTAGGTACAACAATGAAAGCAACATGTGATTCTGAAATCCACTGAAATAAGACTTTCTGTATATAAACATGGAAAATCTTTGAAGTGTGTCAGAAAGGGTGCCTTTATTATAAGTAATCCAGGTCAAAGTTTATAGTTTTGCTGGTCATGATCTAAAAAAAATTAAGGAAGCAATGTTAGATTTATAGAAAAGAAAGTTGCATGACATCATTTTGCAATTCCCTATAGCTATATAATAATCCACCTGTATCTTTCAGTGTGTGAGTCTAGATCAGGCGGGGTCATCCTTGGACAGCTGACAGTCTGCAGGATTGCCATTTAAAAACTCTGTCATATCCTACTAATGCTGCTACTGCATATTTTGTTTTTAGTGTGAATACTTAGTGTGCTACATGTATATCAATATTCACATCTTGTGTATATTGTTTTACTTGTAAATTGAAATGCTTGAAACATTTTCTACACTATTAATTAGGCTTTCAGTTTCCTTTAGGAACATACTTTTTGATAATAACAATTACTGAATAATATTTAATTATTTTAATAATTCTTTTGACATTTTATATTGAGCTTCTATTCATCAGATTGTGTTTAAATACTTTGTGACACTTTAAAGCTTTGACTTCCTGTATTATTAAAAGAATAAGAAAAAACTACATTGTCCTTTTAAAACAAATCGAATAAGGAATATTATATCTGGAATCTTCTGCGACCATCGTCTCAACTGCTCATGACAAAGCAAATTGCAGCTCTCTGCAGAGCTGTCCAGGAAAACGCTGGTGGGATCATCACACAACAAGCTGGGTGTCCTGCGTGAGGCAAACAGGACAGTTTCGCAACAGCAAAGTAACCGTGCATGGATCACGGCTCTGAGCTAAGTGAAAGAAGAGGAGGAGGAAAACGGTCAGCGCAGCACTTCACAAAAGTTGTCAGCAGCAGTCCTCTTTGAGGAGAATCTCACAACAAAAGTTGTTTTCAGTGTGGATTGGTTTTAATTTAAACATAAGGTCCAAACATTTAAATATAGCCTCAGGATAAACTGCAGCTGTTCAGGGGTGTGGCACAGGCCCGGCCCTAACCAATCTGGCGCCCTAGGCAAGATTTTAGGTGGCGCCCCCCTACATCGGCAGTGTAGTGTATGTACTCACAAGAAACCGAATAGCTTTGTCTTTGACCTTTTTTTTTTTACTTAAAGAAAGCAAATTCACAATCAGAATAATTAACAAGATAAAAAAATATATGAATAAATAAATGAATACAAAAAATAAAAAATGAGTATATGAAATACAATAAATTTTACATACATAAACACAATAAAACGTGTCAACAAGTTGGATAAAATAAATTAAAAATACAATATAAATAAGGCACTGCACAAAACAAGATATTAAATAAACCAGTATGACTTTAACAACTATATTACAAAAAAGGGGATCCTACAGAGTTCTCTAGTTGTGCTTTTTAATACTGCATTAACTAGAATGACTTACTGTACACCACCCCCTCTTCAACCTCACATCACCTGCTACAGCCTTACTCTCCTAGTCTTTCTTGCAGCAAAGTCATCTACAACATCATCATATGACAACTGATTTGAGACCACATGATTTATGCTTATGATGGAAAGTCCACTGAGATGTTCTTGCATCATAGTAGATCTCAGGTAGGTTTTAATGAGTTTGAGCTTAGAGAAGCTTCTTTCAGCAGCAGCCACTGTAACAGGAAGAGTGGCAAAGATTCTCAGAGCAACCCACATGTTGGGGTAAATTGCAAAGTAACAGTATAATATCATATGAGAATGTTATGTTATGATTATCTTTGACCGAATCACAGCAGTGCTCATATTAAAAAACAGCATTCCCTCTCATGTGATATTGCTTAATTAACATTAATGATGTGCACTTTAACAACTAGGCTTACAACTATAATATATACAGGGGTGGAAAAGTGACTATTACCTGCAGGGTAAACGTTAGCTAACCAGAAGGCAATAACAATGTAAACAAAAAACACCTGCTTAAAAGATGAATACAAATGAGGAATGGTGGGAAAGGTGGGAGTACTGTAATTACCTAACGTTACATTATTATTTTCCATAACAATTTAGCCCCCTCCACAATATTAACTGACGTTAAAACAGTTAACTAGCTATTTATTGATTAGCAATTAGCGAATCATGTAACATTAGCTTAATGCTAAAAATTTAGGTTACTATCACATTCAGACAAATAATTTCATGTAGGCTAACGTTACCTACCTCTGTCTTTTTCTCGTTTCTCCTCCTCTTCTTTTCTCTTTTTTCTTCCCTGGGCACCTGACAGTTTTGGCCGTTTTGACATCTTGTGTTGATTTTTTGATGTGGTGACGTCCAAAAGGAACCATGATACGGGAAGGGAGGGGGCGCACCGTGCGGGTAGGGGGGGGGGCGTAATGTTGTAACAAATAATATTTCTATTAAATAAGCTTTACTTTGCATTTTAATTAACGTGGGATTATTTTTTGTATTTAGAAATAATAGTACCAACTTTTTTTTTTTTTCCAACATTTGTGGCACTGGCGTGGCGCCCCCTGATGGACGGCGCCCTTAGCATTTGCCTATACGGCCTATGCCACGGGCCGGTGTTGGTGTGGCATATTAGGACCCTGAGCACAGGGAAACTCCCGACATTGGCTGTATCCCAATTCAGGGTCTGCAGCCTTAAAGTACGCATTTCAAGGCCGATTACGTCACAGCGGCGCGCCGAAGGCTGTCCCAATTCAAAGGCTGCTCGAAATGCGGCCCTGAAATGCGTCCTTCTTTTCCCTGAATTTTAAGGCGGTGGCAGTGTAGACTTCGTGGCCCAACATATCCCAGAATGCATAGCGCGGCGGTGGGTGTGGATAATTTTGCCGAAAAAAAACGGCGGATGAGGGGCGGCCAAAGAGTAAACTTTAAGTACTGAATATAATGTCACCTATTTATGTGCAAATGTTTAATAACGAAGAACATTAAAACATTACTGTTGGCCACATGTCGGGAAAGTTATGTGACATTAGTGACGTTTGTACTAACTTGGTTTTAAAGCCTTTACTTTAAAATATACGCCGTTCAATAGCTGAGCTTAATCTTACAGAGAATGATCAAAGCTCATGTAGAAACAAACAAACAAATGAACAAAAGATTTTCTCCTTCATTTCTGTCAAACAAAGCTGTATGACACGTTTCCAGCTGTTAGTATCAAGACACGAGGACTAAACCCCAATTCAACCAGACCCAGAACTGATCCAGAATTAAAACAGGACTACAACAGTTCGAAATCAGGACTACTTGGGATTTAACCAAGACAGAACCAGAATCAGAACTAGATGATAGTAGCACTAAAAATCATCATAGACCTGCACTACACTTATTTTTTAATTCTACCAAAGTACACTATTTAGATTGAGAAAAGTTTATATAATTATTTAGCCTTGTTGTATAAACAAGCCTGCATAACTTAGTAAATATAGAATTTGAAAAATAACAAACCTAAAAAGAAACACTAGGTACGAGATACATGAGTACCTATGATACGGTGATACTTTTGGTAAACGACCATTTGACTAACATGTCTGTCTCACCTGCTCTTGTTCCATCTCTGTTCTGTCCTCATTCTCCATCTCCCTCTCTCCCTCTCTGTTCCTCTCTCTCCCTCTTTGTGCTGACAATCATCAAATATACAGTTGAAACCAGATATTTACACACTCTTCAGATCAAAACACAAACACTTTTTTAATTGTAACATCAAATCAGACTAAATGTTTATTTTTTTTAGATTGATAAATATAAAAAACATATCTGTTAACTTTAAGAGTAAGAAGAGAAACT